ACGTCTTTACGTGTTACATCACACCCACAAACTCAAAAAGAAGGTCCGGCTTGATGTTTAGGCTTCAGAGGCAAAACCAACATTATACTGATGAAGATTATCACTGCAGTAGATAATTCACTCACAAAGTCTTGACTGGAGTTCCTTAAATACTCTTTCACTCAAAAACTGTATTTCCATATATTGAGTGCAATTACACATTTCTACCAGAGAGGTCTCCAAATCCGCAAAACGTACTCAGTGCAGCTTTAAAATAAGTATCTAGCCAATTAATCTCGTGGCCAGAGTTAAGAATGTGTCACCAGAATTATAGAAACCTTTGCCGTATATAACAAACATGCTTCAGTTCCAGAAAGCAGTCGAGTGTGGCTTTGTTTTAAAATATTTGAAACTGTACATTAATAAGAACATTGCTGTGAAACTGTGAATTCCGGCAAAATCTGATTTGATGCGTTTAGTGTCGTTCATGACCAAAGTGTCTGGATCTCGTGGGGGAGGGTGAAAGGTTGTGGTTTTGAATGTGTAAAAATCTGACTGGTCTGGTTTGTTAAAAGGGAAAAAAATGCAAAAAAACTTCCAAGGCAAGTGACCACTTGGGCCACAGGCTCTGCATTTTTAGTGGCCAAGATGTGAAGTGCTGTGGTTAAAGGCACCCTGCCAAAACTTCAGCCTCAAGGACATTATATGTACACGTGTTACAGATACATTTTGGACTGTATTATTTGTTTTTATTTAAAGTCTGAACTAAGTATTTGTTCAGTATTTGTAATATCAAATAAAATAATACATTAATAGAACAGGTTTAACACAAGTACAGTTGTATAGAAGCATTTGAACATCTTATCTTCTTATTTTTTTACTGCACAATCTGTAGTTTAGTTTGACATCCTGGAAAAACAAAACATAGTGCCATAACATTTACACAGGCCACACTTTATGTTCTAATTTCTCCAGATATGTTAAATTCAGCAAATAAACAGTAATTGTGCAATAAAATGAGCTGGTGTGTTCTTTGTAGAGGAAAGTGTAACTTAGTGTTTATTTAGAGAACGAACTAAACGTGGAATTTGATAAGCATCGCCCAAAGTTTGCAAAATGCCCATTATAAACCAGCTTTAATGTTGAGGCACTTGCTCCATTCAGGCTGTTGTATTTTAGAGCTGAAGCTCTGTTACTGATGCTTACGACACAGAGCAGTTGTTGGGACACGGTATGCAGTGTCCACTCTCATTGCTGTATTTCCACACAGTGTGGTGGTCAGATGTGATGGTTTTAACAGCTGTGATTCGATTCGGCCTGGACTGGACAAGTTTCTAAATGTAGGCGACATCACAGAGCTCCTCCAGCTTGAACCACACCTGCACACAGTCCTCATTGAAGGCTTCCTAAAGTCTACGATGAACACGATGCCAAGCATCATTCACATACAGGCAGAAACAAGATTCATCTCACCAGATAACACGTTTCCAGTCATGACCGGTCCAGTTTTTGTGTCTCTTCGCCCACTGTAAGCGGACAACTCTGTGAGCAGAAGTTAGCAAAGGCCTCCTGCGTGCCACTCTGCTCCATATGTTCATGGCATGCAGATCTCTGTGGAGAGTTCTTTCAGAAATTGGTTGTGAAGAACCAGCGTTGACTTCTAGAAGCAATTCTTGTCTGGAAGTGAAGCCGTGAAACATGCCGGCAGTCCTTGTCAGTCATTTTCGTCTTTCGGTCCCTATTCTGATGAGAACTTCCTGTAGACTGGGATTTTTGCCACTGCTGGTTGACCCGTATGACCGGACGATTCGACACACCTTCAGATTCAGCTACTTACTTCACACTGTGGCCTCTTGCAGCCCAAATGCAATCAGTCTTTTTTTGCCAATCATTAACATCTGCTTTGTGGCCCATTTTCCACACACCGAATGAGACATTCACTACACTGTACCACCTTTTCTCAATCTATGAATCTCATCGCACACCCCGCAGGTATTTATGGTCCAATCATCCTTGTGCAGCGTCATCTACAGGAGCCTGACGTTACTATCACCTTAAACATGCAAGGTGACTAATTTTTTGTCCAGAGAGCTTACATAGCCATGCAATCTCCATGAATAAACAAATAATTTCAGTAGAATAGGTTTTAATGAAGAGCTCAATGACACAGGATGCCACTTTTGTCACCAGTCACTTAGTAAACTTTCTGTCCAGCTAGATCTCCCCATGTCAATGGTAAGTGCTATTTTTGTGAAAAGAAAGCATCTAGGACCAAAAACATCTCAGCCATGAAGCAGTACAACATGCAAACCCACAGAGCGGGGCCGCCAAGTGCTGATAACATGAATAACTTCATACTTAATGGCTATTTTGACTGGAAATTAAACATAATAAAGGGTGGTGTGTGACATTTCCACAGTACAGTATTAAAGGTACTAGCATTAATTATGCTACCTAATGGATTTTAACAAATTTGTTGCATGTCATTTTGATGTTTTTTATCTGCTTTGTGTAAATATCAAAGTGCACAGAAATTACGCACCATGCAACCCGCAACAAGCTGAGTGACCATGTAAATCCACCCTACATACAGTGGCATGCTAAGTCCAGCTGTGATGAGGCCTGAGCTTCTGGATCCCTTTAGCTGCAGCAGATCGTGCTAAAGAGGCAAGTCTGCTCTTGAACCTCCTGTCGATAAACTCTCCACACTCAGAACAACACCCACCTTTAGGACACTCTCCTTCACACTTTTCACATTTCTGCGTCTCCTGTCCATCCGGTTGGACGGTGATGACTTCCTGGTTTGCTTTGGGACAGACCATCATACATGCCACATCCATGGCCAGATAGTTATCTGCAGTGAGAGAGAGAGAGAGAGAGAGAGAGAGAGAGAGTATACAAGAAGGAAAAAAGTAAACGTGTGCTTGTCTAGCAGAATTTTCTAGAATATTACAAAATATGTTTGCTCAGTTGAAACATGAAGGGCATGGCTGGCATAAATAATGCTGTCAGTGACTAATCGACTACATCATGTAATCCCTGCGATCCGATTGATGCTAGAAAATCCTCCGTAGTTTTTTTTTTTTCAGTTTCTTCTTCTGCTCACTCGTCTGCCCAGGGTTCTGTTTCCGGTTTCCAATCGCTTCTGCCTGTAGCTAGAAGGCCAGTCTTTTTTGTTCTCCTGTAATTGTTGAGTGAATTTTGAAAACACTCAGCTAATGTTTTATTTAGAAATAAGTCACGTTACAAAAGGAAAATGAGTCACACTCTGTTTTACGCAGGTGGCTCCAAAGCTGAACTTCCCGTAGGGGTTGGGAGTGAGCTGAAAGGTTATGTGGTGGGAGACCATGAGTCGGGGGCAGTTGTCTTTACGCATCTCACTGTCGTTAAAGTAACGGCAAGCCTGTGTGGAACAAAGACACATAAATACCGAACACTTTTAGAAATCAACACTTTCTGATCACTGACATGTAAATTTCACAGCGCTGACATAGCTCTAAAAGGCCTCGCCCCTCAGTACCTGAGTGAACGTCTCTTATTATGAACCATCGTGCCTCCTTAGAGCACAAGGTGCGGGGTCATTATTAGTACCTAGAATTAATAAAGTTACATCAGGGTGTAGAGCCTTCTCATACAAAGCCCCCCAGCTTTGGAACAATGTTCCAGTCAGACTCAGACACAGCCTGTTCTCAAGTCTAGGCTAAAAACCAGCTTGCACATCTGGGGGTTCATGGTCATAGAGTATTATGGTAAACTGGGAGTGTTGGTGCTGTCGTCCCGCTGCTCTCACGCACTCACTCAGGTTTGTTGACAGTGGAGTGGAGGGGCGCTGACATCTCAGGGAGCCTCATGTCTCTGGTACCTTTTTGGCTCTCCCTTTAGTTACGCTGTAAACTCTAGACCTGTCGGAGTCTCAGCTGCTCTGTTAACACTGTAAACTGTGATCAGTCACTTTTAACAGAACTAGCTTTCTGTGTGTTTTCTTTGCCGAGCTGAATAACTGCCCATCCTGTGCAGTCTGACGCTGCCCACTGCCCACCAGCCTTCTGGACCATGGAGCTTCCTGCTGTACAACACAGTGTAAACCTCACCTGCATGAACTGACCCTCCTGATCACAGCCATTGCTTTACCTGCTTTTCCCCTTTTCTATACTTTAACATTTTATACTGATGATATTTTATTATTCTCTGTTCATATTGCTCGTAAATCATATAGACTGTTATGAATGCTTATGTCAACAAATGCAGGCTTCATCCTGCCTGCGTTTATCTCTATTGCCTATGTTTGCCTACAGTGAACAACAACAAGTGTCTACATGACTTATTATATTGTACGTATGAGTTATATAAGTGTTACCTAAAATACATAGAAAACATAATTACATTCTACCAACTCATAATACGTGAGAACTGGAACAAACCTTAATCTGAATGGAAATATCAGCTGATATTTTGTTTATTTGTCTATTTATTTGCAGTACACTTCGGAAATGAAAATGAATCTGAAAATCTAACTATGATTTCACACTTCATTTAAATCTAAACATAACACTTACATTTATGTATAATATTTAAACAGAATTTCTCAGGTGGTGCACAGCTTTTGTATGGTTCTATAGTTACAGTCACAAAATCTTCATAACGTCAACCCATGTCCATATCTAAAATTTAGAATTCCTTCACTCCAGATGTTCTCTGAGTTAGCCTGAGTACAAATCTGAGGCGGTAAAGTGAGATTTTTATCACTTCATAAATGTATCAACACACATATTTGGTGAAACAGGACTACTAACTTTTAACAATAGAAAATCTTAATGTAATTATGAGTAAAAGTATGTAAACTACACCACATTAATGAAGTTCTAATGGATCCTGTTATATGTTTATCCAGTTCTATTACTTTAAGTCAATCAGAGCAGATCCTGAAAGAAATCACACACCAGACAGTCCGAGTCTTTGGGTCCGGAACATCCTGCGGCGCACTGGACATGACAGCAGTCGCTGGCCTGAGGACCCTTACAGCGCAAACAGCTGGACGTACACTGGACGTGGGTCACTGCACACACACACACACACAATCACAGTCATGACTACATCTGACTGACTGTCTGAACTGTAACTTGTTCTGTCTGTTTTGTAAAAATGACAGTAGCTGAAAACACAAGCGCTGCTCACATGTTTGGCAGTCGTCCTCAGTTTGTCCCCAGCATCCTCTGGAGCGACAGGCTGCTGGACAAGGTTGACCTGAAGCAGCGACCAAAACATCACACTGCAGAACGAGCTATTTAAGCAACAGAACACGAGAAGGAGTGTGTTACCAAGAACAACATCACAGACCTCGAGTGTTCTACTGCTTTTATACAACAGTTTTTACAAAATAAAGAAACAAAATAAATCAAAGAAGCCCTTAATTTCATACTGAATATGCTTTAATACTGACAATACCTTCTGCCAAAAAGTAGTTCCACAACAAATGAGTTAGCCCAGGGGTCGGCCGTGCGGCTCTTTTACTGCCCTGTTGTGGCTCCAGAATCAGATTTGTAGGTAAAAATAAAATAATCCTCCTTTACAGTAAAATAAAGCTCTGCTGACGTTCAACACAGTTTAACAATAAATGGTCTTAAACTCTGGAGTTAATGTAGAACTGCTAATTCACCCTTTAACCCTGAAGATCAGCGCAGACTGCTGGTCACCACAGCAACACAGACAACAGTCTCGCCTAGCTAGTAGCTAACGAAACGGCAAAGAGAGAGATTTAAGACGAACATCGATAATTTGGTGACAAATGGACTTATTTGCATTTACACTGATCAGACATAACATTATGACCACCTCCTTGTTTCTACTCTCATTGTCCATTTTATCAGCTCCACTTACTATATAGGTGCACTTTGTAGTTCTACAGTTACAGACTGTAGTCCATCTGTTTCTCTGCATACTTTGTTAGCCCCCTTTTACCCTGTTCTTCAGTGGTCAGGACCCCCATGGACCCTCACAGAGCAGGTACTATTGGGGTGGTGGATCATTCTCAGCACTGCAGTAACACTGACGTGGTGGTGGTGTGTTAGTGTGTGTTGCGCTGGTCTGAGTGGATCAGACACAGCAGTGCTGCTGGAGTTTTTAAACACCTCAGTGTCACTGCTGGACTGAGAATCGTCCACCAACCAAAAATATCTAGCCAACAGCGTCCTGTGGGCAGCGCCCTGTGACCACTGATGAAGGACTAGAGGATGACCAACACAAACTGTGCAGCAGTAGATGAGCTATCGTCTCTGACTTTACATCTACAAGGTGGACTGACAAGGTAGGAGTGTCTAATAGAGTGGACAGTGAGTGGACACAGTGTTTAAAAACTCCAGCAGCACTGCTGTGTCTGATCCACTCGTACCAGCACAACACACACTAACACACCACCACCAAATCAGTGTTACTGCAGTGCTGAGAATGATCCACCACCCAAATAGTACCTGCTATGGGGTCCATGGGGGTCCTGACCACTGAAGAACAGGGTAAAAGGGGGCTAACAAAGTATGCAGAGAAACAGATGAACTACAGTCTGTAACTGTAGAACTACAAAGTGCACCTATATAGTAAGTGGAGCTGATAAAATGGACAATGAGTGTAGAAACAAGGAGGTGGTCATAATGTTATGCCTGATTGGTGTATAATCACTCCAGCTGGTTTCCTGATACGTTTAATCTGCAACGAGAAACTGTCAAACACTAAAAAGTTGTGAAACTGAAGTCAGTTTCTCGTTCGATTTTGTCCCGTTCCACCTTAAATGGCGCAGTGGTTACATTCTGGCAGCTCAGGCACCATTTAAGGTGGAAAGGTAAATTAGAACATGAAGCTGGCGAATTAGAAGCGACTTCAGCCTCGTAAAAAGTTAAATGTTGGAGAGACATTTTACAAGAAACTGTTCTACTTTTGAGGAAAAGTTTCCTGCTGGAGATGCGAGAAAAGCAGCTATAGCTGAGCTAAAGCTTAAAGCAGAGCAAAGTTAGTCTGTGTTTTCGTGTAATTTATTTTTTTTATCCTATACTAGTACTTTAGCACTTAAGGCTCACCTTATGTGGTACAGAGAGAGTCACAGAACTGTAGAAATATCAAGTTCAGCTCAGCCTTTTCAGCTGTTGCCAAATTAGCCTGAATGTCATTTTGCAACAGCACCGTTTTCATGGTAACGGCTGATTGAGAATCTGATCCGCATGGTCTTAACCATGATACAGCACTGATATTTCTTGGATGTGTAACATGCACTCCCAATAAGGAATATCATGGAAAAAAAAGAGAAATTTTTCGAAAGTGGTCTATAATTCTTTTTGGAACGAAACCTTTCATATGTAATTACGCAACTACATTTAAACTGAACCCCTGTTTTAATAACGAAATTTGATGTGCCATCGTCCACCTCACCTCACCATTTCCCCTCTCGGGAATCCCAACACCTTCATGATGTCCATTCCATTAGTGTACTACCTCAAATGATGAAACATGGTGATGAAACCTGTTTATAAGCCAATTATCTGCCAATTAAACGTTTTAAAATACTGAATATTTCCAAACTATAACATTCAACTTGCTGTGCTTGCGGCTGCTAACGACTCCATCTGTCCTACACGACTGTTGACCCTTCATCACATTACTCAGCAGACTGAAGGCTACACAGATAGTAACAACAAAGATAAAGGCACTACACTATGACTGTAAAACAAAGCTCACAGCCAATTATTCACAAAATGTATGTATATTATGTTCAAACTTCTCAAACAAACGTTGGCCCCCGAATCTAACCTAGCTGAGCGGCGAATGCATTCAGCTCGTATGATTTGCTCCTCGCTGTACCCCCCCCTGTCTTGTCCTGTGAATGACCACTTAAGTGGTGAAGTGAAGTTAGAGAGCATGTTAAAACAGGACTGAACCGTGGCCCCTAGTCCACTGCTTTGACCCAGCTCGTCACGGTTGTACTTACAGTAAGGTGCTGCCGACTGCAGGCGTGTTAACTTGCCGTCTGTTTGTTGTTCACCCAGAACGTCCTTCCAGTTGATCTTCTGCGGGTCGGGGTAACAGAGCTGGGGGTTCCCCGAAATATATGTACCTGCTACACCATTTAATTCTTACAAGAAACTGACTTCAGCTTCGTGACTTTTTAGTGTTTGACAGTTTTTCACTGCAGATTAAACGTATCAGGAAACCAGCTGGAGTGATTATAAACGCAAATAAGTCCATTCGTCTCTAAATTATCGATGTTCGTCTTAAATCCTTCTCTTTGCCGTTTCGTTAGCTACTAGCTAGACGAGACTGTTGTCTGCGTTGCTATGGTGACCAGCAGTCTGCGCTGATCTTCAGGGTTAAAGGGTGAATTAGCAGTTCTACATTAACTCCAGAGTTTAAGACCATTTATTGTTAAACTGTGTTGAACGATCAGCAGAGCTTTATTTTACTGTAAAGGAGGATTATTTTATTTTTACCTACAAATCTGATTCTGCTGTGGAGCCACAACAGGGCAGTAAAAAAACCGCATGCAGCTCCAGAGCCACGTGTTGCCGACCCCTGGCATAGACAGTAGTGGTGGAAGACGGTGAGACGACAGCACAAAATGAAATCCTCTTAAAATACCTACAATCACAGCCACACTGACCTGCAGGAAGGAAAGGTCCAGCGTCCATTTTAAGTGTGTGATTTCCAAGTTGCCGTGGACGACCTGGCAGCCGGTGTAAAGGAGTCGGAGCATTTCATAGTGGTTCTCCAGACTGGAGGGCAAGGCCAGCTTCATATCCGTCCCCAGACACACTGCAGAACACAGAACACACAAACAATCATCAAAACGTAGAGTGAACCCCAGCCTCTGTCCCACACAACGACTAATCCTGAACTCAATACAAACGCTGGGGTCCTGGACTCAGGCTAATCCTGGACCAACATTAACATTTATATGATACTTTCAATGGAGGATCAATAGCGAAATTCAGCCATAGGAAGGATAACAAGGTCTCTTACATTTAGCCCAAGTCTTTAGTTTATATTCTAGACATGCACCGATACCACTTTTTCCTTTAGTATCGGCCGATACCGGTACTAACTCTATCTAACCTTAGTCACATAAAAACCCTGATAATTATACAATTACATTTATTTGGTAAAATCACAAATAAAACACACTCAGCTTGTCTAGATGGCATTTACTTGTTGGATTATATTTATTAGATGCTTCAGAATACTTATTTCTGTTTATTTACCGTAAATTTTTGGTATTTACTATTATATAATTAGTAATAAGAACAATGTTTAACAACTTAAGTAAATGTAAAACATCTTTATTGGGAAAACAGTTAAAAACAGAGCTGAACAGTGTTCAGATAAACCTGTGGTGTTTACACATCAGTACACAGCAGCTTCTCTGGCTCAAAAACGGAGCTGAATGTTGTTTCACATCCAAATTCGTTTGTCTCATACGAGCATCTTGTTCACTCGTGCTGCATCTCTAAGCGTCAGTTCAGTAAATATCACCCTCATTCTCGCTATCAGCGACTTTCGGTGTTTTTCTGGCTTGGTTGAAGCGACGGGCCGCGAAACCCCGCTGCTGAGTAATACAGCTGACCGACGGAGGCGCACCGCAAGCGGGGGTAGTGGGCTGCTATGCTAATGGCTAAATCGAGGCTAAATGCTTTTAGGGTTTGGCGGTTCCTTCCGTTCTCAATAACATTACCTCAGACTGTAAGTGACCACACAGCGACGGACGAGTGATTACTGAAAGAAGCAGCTCAGCCGTTCAGGTCAGCAGCTCAGTTAACGTGTTTTTAACACCAAAAACTGCCGTTACAGATTCTGCCATAAGCATTTTTACTGCTGCTTGTCGTCCCACACCGCCAACGTGTTGTTAAGTTCCGTCTGGCACACACACGCGGCAGACATTGCTTTGTGGTAATGGTCATTGTATCGGTACCACATCACCGATACCGATACTGCATTTAAGTGCCAGTATCAGCACCAATACTGATACAGTATCGATATCAGTGCAACACTGTTATATTCTTTTGGCATCGATTGATAAATGAAATGAATTTAATGGAAATGACACACATAATGACATACGTAAGTAACTACATGTATATTTGGTAATAAATATTTTTTTACCTCTTTAGAATTTTTTTGGAAATTGTAAGTTAAGTTTCCATGTAAGAAATCAAGAAATCATTATATTTTTATCATTTAAAAGCATAAATAAAACAGCAAAATACATATAAAATAACTCTTTCTTTCAATTCCCGGTTTTCAACTGAGAGTGTCCTGAATTTCGCTTTAGGTTTTGGCTGAGGATTTTCATTTCGGTGCATCACTAATAATAACAAAGCTACTGCTTCACACCCTCCGGCATGACATCCAGAGACTGTTTGAACTGCACTGAATCAGCGTTGAAACTGTACTGACAAATTCTTCATTTCGGCCACAGGACTCTCCGGCCTGCTGGACTGAGTGGCTGGAGTAAATGTTAGATCTGTCTAACAGCTTTAAGCAACATAATCACCCCACACACTGCGGGGAAACTGCTCCAGTGCAGGGAGGCAGGAGTCGGGACTTATCAAGCAGACGTTTCAGACCCTCTTACAGCCCTGAGACCACAATGCACAAGAAGATACGACGCCACTCTTATCATGAGAGTGTGTGGGTGGGTTTTTGTGCACGTATGCATGCTTGTGCTTCCTAAGAGCCGTGAACTGATTATCGTCAGAAGGAGGCTGAGAGCCAGACCTGCCTCCGTCTGTGCTCCTTTAGTACCACCCCATATTCACCATGGACATGAATGACCTGTCTTAGGGCCATTTTGCTGGAGGAGACTAAAGTAGCTACGCAGTTTAAGCCTAATATTGCCCAGTATCGAAACATCAATAGTGCTCTAAAGTGGCTCTAAAGTTCTAGATCTTCTTCTTTTGGGAAGAAATGATTATGTAAACCTTCTATGGACTTCTATGGACTAAACAAATCTGTGATGTGACAGAAAGATGTGACTACTTGTACACTTGCATAGCATTTGCAAATGATATTATAAATAATACATAATAATACATAATATGAAATATCAAAAGTTGTACACGCATCAAAATGTAACTTCATGGTTTCTCAAAAACATCTAAAGCTGAATTTCAGAATGCCTCCACTATATCGATGGAATCACCTTGTTTTTTTCAGAATGTAAAGCACATGGACGGTTTTGGAACTCCAGTCCAGCAGTGTGAAGCTCCTCCAGCAGGGGGCGCTTTTAGCACGCAGGTCACTTACGTGTTCATCATTTAGAGAAGAAAGAGCTATAAATCTCAGCAAGATCTAACAAATGCATGGCTTTTTTGCAGAAACAACGTTCAAAACCAGAGGTAAAAAAAAAAACTACCAAAGAAATATCAGAAGTATTTATATGATTTCCAGTAAAGGGTTTCATTTAATCAGCGAATGCTTGAAAAGCATGTAAGTAGCTCCTCAGCGAGTCCCCGAGAGGCGCGTCGACCCCACGGCCCGGTAATCACAGTGAAAATCGCCTTTAAAACGGTGTCCCAGCGGTGTTTTTCCTCTGTCCTTATCTTTTGAACAGATACACATACATATGTGTGTGTATCTATGATCTGGTGGTCTCGGTTTCATTTGACTTTGTGATTATAAGACTGAAAAACACTTTCCTCAACAGGTTCTACTGGCTTGGTCCTTCATAGAGAAGCATAACTTTTCACTGCATGCATACTTTATTTGGAATAACAAGTTCATTTTATATTATATTATATTATAAGGTACTGTAACTCCTAAAGAATATGAGGCACTCTCCATGTGGAATGGAAAACCATGTCAAAAAGGCTGCAGGACTTAAAAAAGATGCTTAAAATATGAGGCTCAGCTCCAGAAGTCAGTATGTACATATACACAGTTGACCTCAGATTAAATAACACTTTTCTCTTCTGATTCTCTGATTTTCCTTGTTTATCCTGTTTCACAGTCGCTCTGCATCTGTAAAACAGCTCATCACAAAACCAATTTTCAAAACATTTTTTTAATATAAAACAACATTTTTAAGAGTTTTAACTCAGGAATTTATATAAAACAGATTCATGTTTACTTTTTATATCATTAATATTATACTACATTAAAAAAATATGTATTTTATTGTGGTCACTGGTGTTTTCAGGACTCTTATTCTACATTTGAATACAGTTTTTTTTAGCTCTGTTAAACTGCTTCTTTGGGTCGAGGCTCATCAGAGAGGAAGCACCTCAAGGCCTGAGAAGGCGAGTCAGACTTGCTCACTATATTTCATTAATTTACTAACAATTTTGTTTATCAGGCAGCTCAGAACTTCTCTGTGTCACTAGTGTTGTGTGTTTTAATGGCTAGGTGATTAAAATGTAGTCAAAATAATGTTTTCGAGGGTCTCCTTGCCCCTTTAGAACTGAGTTGCAAGTTGTAGTCGTTGAAATCTTCCCTCTGAAATGGGACCCTCAAATAAAAAGAGCATCACTTCATTAACTGCTACTGGCACTGGTCTGTAGGCGACCCTGCCAGTCTGCAGTGACAGCAGAGGAGGGTAAAGTTCAGCTCCTCACTGCTGGGCTTTAGTTACATTTAGGGACTCATATGATCTTCAAAGAGGGGGGCAATTATTTATTATCACCCACCCCTAATTCTTCAGTGATATGAAGCTGAAGTCAGATATTCACCAGCTTCTCGTTCAAATTTTCCCGTTCCACCTTAAATAGAGTGGCAGCTACATTCTGTCGCTTCAGACGTCAGAACTGCTGGACTATTTAAGGTGGAATGGGCAATTTAGCCAGCTTAGTACCAAGACATTAGCATACAATTAGCAATTTTTTATGCTTGTTATGAAGAAAAGGACCATAATACATTGAAACATTAAACCAAGATAATACAATGATTTTCGTCATTTTAAGAGAGAAAATTCTCACATTTGTGGGTTTCTTTGGTCTCCTGTTCAGCCGTCTTGGCGTTTTTTCTTTTTTTCTAATAACACTCTGTTTGGAGTCTCTGAAACACCTCAGTTTGGAGGGCCATGTAGCCGCAACACTTCACCCTCCCCCTCTATCTC